ATATTTCTCGACTGGCTTCAATTATTACAAACAAAAAGAAAAATGTTTATTTAACGGTTTTTTTCTAAAACAATATATCTTCATTGTTCTTTATTTTTCAAAAGACATCTTGATTTTGTTTGTTTGCCAAGCTTACTTGTATGAGGTAATTACCATCACTAATCACTCCTAATTATTAAAGATCAAACGACCTAATCAACATGATAATTGGTATTCACTATAATCATCGGTCATGCCTGATATATTTCATAAAAACGGCGCGTACCGATGAAAACCTTAATAACTTTTTAAATATTAAATTGATTTTATCAAAACAAAAATTATAAGATGAAGAATTAAATTATCTATCGAATGCATACCTTCACCACTAACAAAAACATATTTTTCATGTCCTGAGTGCACTCAGGAGGTCCTGAGCGGTGTTTAGACGTACCGCAAATGTGTGTGTGTGTGAAATTTAAGGTAAAGTAGTGATTTAGTCCAAATTAAAAGGATAAAACACTTGAATGATTGAAGCTTTCAAACTAAATTGTAGACCCCAACCCGCAACATAGAATGGTTCACATTTTGAGTTAGAGCTGTTAGACTGCTCTATAATTTCGGTACGTCTAAACACTGCTAAGGAGTCCTTAAGGTAACACGATACCGAATGGCATATCTCCCAATTTCCAAACTTTTTGACACACGTGTTCTTTGAATCGAATTACATCGGAATATGTTATAAAAAATGGGGGTCACCATTTTTGTTTTCTTGGTATTTTGATAGGAATACGTCAATTTTGGCGACAAATTTACATAGGTATATAGGAGTAATGGCTTTTTTTCGGCTTTCCTTTTTAGATTTTCCAATGGATGGATATGTTCTTATATACGGAGAAAAACAAAAAACTAACATAATATCCAGGATTGCATACTGAATCCATACACGTAAAAAAACTCATATGTCACCATCCTTGTTTTTGAGATAAATGGCTTCAAAGTTGATCGATATGCCTAGAATTTGACCGAAAACGTATGACGTTATTGAATACAGAATATAACGTTATTCCTACTCAGAGATATGGAAAACAAAATATGTGTCAGGATCTGAATGTTGTTTTTTTATTTTCATTTCCCCTGTCGGGTTTCGTAAATTTCCTAGTTATGCAATATGAAATTCTACTGATATAAATTTATTTCGTCCTGCACATGGAAATTTCACTCACATTAATCTCGTCTGAATTTCACACCAAACAAGCATATACTTGAAACTTGATTGAACTGGTTGGTTCCACGTAAATCTTATGATAATAGTTCATGCATAAATCAACGGAATTTGGTACACGTTGAATTCACGTAAATTTTTATAATAAGATTATTCAAATAATATCTTTATTCTAAATTTAATTAAAATCATGAAAAATACCTCCAAATGTTTGTAAAGTTCACGTGAAAATAACATGAAAAATTTCACGTGTGGTTCATTTGAATTACTGAGTTTTTAACTCCATCATTTAAGACAATGGTGGTGTCATCGCTGCATCCATGCAGAAATAGAGTACTTTAAAAATTTGATTCAGTTAACAGATTTATAATTGCTTGGTTTTTGATGGTTGTTTAACGTTCAGTGGCAAATAGTTCATGCATGTTCGGGACGATACAATACAATTTGGAAAACAGTTGTTTATAAAAGACAAATTTGATGCACCAGTCAAAAAAGGTTAAACATTCTGTTAGTTGTGAAAATTATGAGGGAAAATAATGATCCTGATAAAATACACATTCTAAAAAATAAAATAACAAAACTCAAAGAAAAATTCAAAACTTAAAAGTCCCTTATCAAATGACGAAATCATAAGCTCAAATACACCGAAAGAATGATAAACAGCCGTCATATTCTTGACTTGGTACATAACATGAATTAATAGTTGTTTTTTCACACATCATCCCAAGTGTCTATAGATTAGATTTCGACTTTCAAAACAAAATTTCATGGCGATACGGCGCGCATCATGAATAAGTATTTATTGCAAAAATAAACCAAGAATAAAATAAAGTGTTAAAACTCAGTCTGTTATGCATAAAAACATATATAAGATAAATCGTGCAGATGCTTAAATATTAAAGAAACACAATATTTAAAAGTAAAGTAATACATTTTTAAAGGTTAACAATGAGCAGAAGAATTGCCGGAAAACGATAAAGCAATCTATGTCAAATAAGTTAACCGTTACGTATTGCATCAAAACTCTCAGCACTCTACATCTAGGGAAAGTTACCGTTAAAAATGTCACATAATGAATTACCAAAAATATTTTTTTTATTATTTAATCACTTTGTGATTGCAGAACCTGCTGCATTGGCTTGTATGTGTGAACGTTATTCGATAACGTCAGGAACGATAACTCGTGGCGTAACGTCATTCGGTATCGTGTTACCTTAATGCACTAAGGACGTATACTATGCCACTAAGGACTAGAAGGGGTGCTGTTACATGTATTATGTTTACATATTAAGTTAGAGATTGATATTTTGATAATTTGAATACGAAATAACTAGGATCAGTTCATTTGTACTCGCTACACAAAAGGTGAAAAGATTGGTACGCCTCTCTTTTTGTCCAGTTACCAAAGTTCGTAAAATAAAAATTATATTTTCCGACAATGCACATATATATTGTATATGTTATTCCAACACTTACATTTTTCTTATTCTTTTAATTGTGTGGCTATTTAATGACCATTTTTATTTAAAGCCTGAATTTTCATCCTTCATTCTTAAGTACGTTTGAATTTCTACATAGATCACACTTAATTAATAAAAGTTTTGTGTTAAACGTCAATGACAAAGCAACCAATCCACAAAAAAAAAAGACATCTAGAGGATACATAGAAATCTTTCGTCTGGCAGCACGTATAAACCACAGTTATCGTAAATCATATAAAAGTACAAAATAAATCGAAATATAAAAAAAAGCATTAATTTTTTAAGACAAAACAGAGAAAAGAACTGATAGGTCCGGGCGATCCATGCGTCTATATATAGCTAGCTCCCGTTATGTTTCGATTTATTCAAAATTCATGTTAATTAAATTTAAGTTACTTTTAAATATTATACCACATGAAACATACACTGGTGGGTTCCATGTCAGAAACCCACAGTTCGTCCTGAACATGCATGAAATATTTGCCACTGGACTTTAAGCAACCAACAATCAATCACAATTCACAACTTATAGTATATATAGTTGTGAAATACAAAATGTATGTATAGTGATACAATTTTGCCAAATAAATAGAATACAAATACACACCACTTTATATAACTGACGTAATTTAAAGGAATACTCTCTAAACTATACAAGTAGAGAAGTGAAAAGTTTCTTTTGAATATTGAACAAACTTCCGAACTGTACATGTTTTTATAATGGTTTGCCATGCAGCGCTCAAATATTTTGCATTATCTTTTGGTATAGTGTTTAGAAATATATAATATTGTTAGAACCTTAAACTACACATACTAAGCTATAATAGATTCAGATTCATTATTTTATTGAATATAAAACATAGCATATATTAAAACTGACGGTCAAACATCAACAACTTAAATACTAATACGTATACATAAATTCATTAATTCTTTATTAACTTTTAGCCCTACGGCATATTTTTATTAAGAATCATGAGTGTAATTGTAAAATAGACTTTCTTACGTTATGGATCATTGATTTTGTTACCTGTTGACCCGGTTGATTACTAGCCCGTGCCATTGAACTCAATCATTTTAACTAAAACGGAAAATTTTAAATTTACGCCATACACTAAGTACTATATATATATATATATATATATATATAATATATGGGTTAGAAAATAAATATAAGGATACATTGTTTGAATGAAAATCTTTATACGGTGGTACTTTATTTATAGTTTAACACTGTCTCGACACAGACTGAATGCAGTATCATGATCAGCTTCATGTACTATGGCGACCTTGGTGGTGTTTAGACGCACCACTATGTAAAATAAATTATTGTTTAATAATATAAAATTATATTGTACAGTACAAAGCTATGGTTATAAAAGCTTTTCCAAGTTTAATAGAGTAACTCGCACGAAAATTAAAAAAAACCCAGCTCCAACGGTAATAGTAAACTAGGACATATCAACAGAAAACGAATTAAACCAACTGACATAAAACAAAAATACGCATGTGTTAATTTGCCTCCGCTTTATTTCTGTGGATTGTCTCATTGGCAATTATACCACATCTTCTTATTTTTTTAGGTTACGTTTAAGATTTTCCGTTACTAATTTTCAAATACGAAAAACATTTTCACACAGGGTTCACAACATTTTTAAGTTAAATGTATGGCAAACATTTTTGTAAGTATACAATTAACTGTTTACGTCCTTGCATTTAATAAGTATATAAATAAATAAACTAACAATTATTAAAAAATAAGCAACATATATAGACGAATAATTTATTAGTTCCTCAACAAAACAACAACAGAAATAAAGAATCAACAGAGGATTTAATCTTTAATTACTTTTTATTTATTCGAGAGATATACTTTAAATTCTAATAAATCTATATATTAATCTAAAATGCATTATCAAGCAGAAGGGGCGTAACTCGTAGTATCATACCGGCATACTGAACGGATCTAAACATGGTCTGACAATTTTGAACGTTAATTTTGAGATTTGGTCTGTTTTGGTCTGACACCGTCGTAACGGATCTTAACAGCTTGCTAGAAGATCCAGTCTTGTTTATCTTAACATGCCTTAACGGACTGATTTACCTAATGAGACTATCGATCGGAACGGCGTCTTAAAGTTCTTAAAAGTCTTGACATTTTTCTCTAGCGGTAAATCCAGTCGATTAAGATATGATCAGACCAAAATGACCGTTTCAGACTGAAATCGTGCTACTAGTGATAGAGAAAGACATATCCGGGTTTCAAACTAAAACTGAGGGAAACGCATCAAATATAAGAGAACTACGACACAACAGAAACACAACATTAAAATGTAACACACACAAAAACGAACTATAATATAAGTGTGATAACAGTCGTCTTCATTTGCTGTTCATGGCCAATGATAACAGCAGTTAGCTATCGCTGTTTCAAGCCTAATCCAGGATTTTCAAGTGGTTGTAGTATCCTATTATTTAAAAAGTTTCCGTTCAAAAACAATGTCACACCAGCCTGTCAGCGTCATTATATCTGCTACAACTGTGTAAGTATACAGAGAGTGCATAACCTGTAGTATTTCAACACGTTTAATAGAATTACTCAATTCATCACCGTGATGATATTGACATGCTTTTTCCATATTCATGTACTTATCCTGTTTTATGAAACGATTAGATTCATCACAATGATGATATTGACGTTTTATATCGATATTCATGTACTCATCCTGTCTATTAAAATAACCTTATTCATCACCGTCATGATATTCACGTGCTATTTCGATATTCATGTACTAATCCTGTGTAATGAAATGATTAGATTTATCGTCAATATGATATTGACGTGCTATATCGATATCCATGTACTAATCCTGTTTGATGAAACGATTAGATTCGTCACCATGTTCATATTGACGTGCTATATCGATATTCATGTACTCATCCTGTCTATTGAAATAACTTTATTCATCACTGTCATGATATTAACGTGCTATATCGATAATCATGTACTCATCCTGTCTAATGACATAAAAAGATTCATCACCGTGTTCATATTGACGTGCTGTTTCGATATGCATGTACTCATCCTGTTTAATTAAACGATAAGATTCATCACTATGATGATATTGACATGCTATATCGATATTCATGTACTTATCCTGTTTAATGAAACGATTAGATTCATCACCGTCATGATATTGACGTGCTATATCGATAATCATGTACTCATCCTGTCTAATGAAATGATTAGATTCATCACCATGATAATATTGACGTGCTATATCGATATTCATGGACTAATCCTGTTTAATAAAACGATTAGATTCATCACCGTCATGATATTGACGTGCTATATCGATATTCATTTACTCATTCTGTTTAATGAAACGATTAGATTCATCACCGTCATAATATTGACGTGCTATATCGATATTGATGTACTCATCCTGTTTAATGAAACGATTAGATTCATTACCGTGTTCATATTGACGTGTTATATCGATATTCATGTACTAATCCTGTTTAATGAAATGATTAGATTCATCGCAATGATGATATTAACATTCCATAGAGATGTGTGTGTACTCGTTCTGTCTATTGAAATAACTTTATTCATCACCGTCATGATATTGACGTGCTATATCGATATTCATGTTCTAATCCTGTTTAATGAAATAGCTTTATTCATCACCGTGATCATATGGACATGCAATATAGATATTTATGTACTCATCCTGTCTAATGACATGATTAGATTCATCATCATCATGATATTGACGTGCTATTTCGATATTCATGTATTCATCCTGTCTAATGAAACGATTAGATTCATCACCGTCATGATATTGACGTGCTATATGGACATTCATGTACTAATCCTGTCTAATGAAATGATTCGATTAATCACCATGATAATGGAAGCTTACTATATAGCGATATGTGTGTACTCCTCCTTCCCAAGGAAATGTTTCGATTTAACACAACCATCATATAACCAGATTTAGGAGATAACTGTATTGTATTTTAAGCTTGGCCTCCGTAAAACGTAGATTTTACTGTCGCAAATTGAGTTTACCTAGCGACGCGGAGAGGAGATAGGTAAACGGATATTTGCGACAGTAATATCAAGTTTTACAAAGGCCAAGCTTAAAATAAAATACAGTTATATCCATTCTAATGCAACATATTAAAATAAATGTCATTTAATAAATTTTTTGGCTTAAAAAATGGCATGAATGTGTCGTCATATGTATAGTCTGGATGTCAAACATGAATACTAAATGTATTTTTACTTTTCGTACGCTTCAGAATGGTTTCAATAATGACAAAAAAAGAAGAGTTTGAGGCTCAAAATGTGACTATCTTGTTTATTATTGGAGAAATTACATACCCTAAAAAAATCAGAATTAAAAATGGTGGCTTTCTTACTTACGGACTGGTAGAACGTGGGATCTAACCCCTCAAAATATTTGTCAACGTCCAATGAAAATTATTGTTAAAATCTAATTGCATTATAATATGGCAATTTATTGAAGGAGCATCAAAATTGCAATAATAATTAAATAGTTGATAACAAGATAATGCAAAAAATAAGAAAGTTTCTCATTGAAAAGTTATAGGTTGGAACAAAATATTTAATATTTTATTGTAGTTTCGGATGCGTCGTCAAAGGTAACAAACATGTGTTTTTATATGACATTTTTGTGACTTTTATTGACAGTTTATTTGCATTGGTTTACATTGTTGTTTATTGTTTTCTGCACATTCGTTTTTGATATTTCTTTTGCCAAATATTAATTTCTTTCACATTTGTCCTAAGGGGGATAATTGTTAAGGATGTGACTTTGTCATTTAATTCCCCTAAATGTGCACAGATCAAACGTTTATTAATTCAATGTTTGTTTAAGTCTAATTTGGTTTGAACATATTAATGTTATTAGTATACATTAAAAGTGTTGTAAGAAGCTGACCACTAATGTCATATTATCATTCAATGTCATACATGCAGTAAAATGAAGATGCATCTAAAGAGTACAAAGATAGTGTTTACAGTTTTGATAGTCTTGTTTCTGCTGTAGCACATATATAACAGTCACATTGTAAAGCTTCCCTATAACACTGGTAGGCTGCATCCGTATCATTGGATATTTCACAGCATACTCCAAGTATTGTCATTGACATAGATAAGGTATTTACATCAATTAAATGTCTTCCTTTCACTGTTGAACATAAATCACATAAAGCCTGTTGTCTGTTAAAAAAATCGCCTGTATGATGATAGCAGAGAAATCTAAGAAAGTGAGACATAACTATGGGAGGTACAACTATGTAATGGTCACACACCTCCAGCTGTAGTTCATGGGGTATTAACGATGAATGCTGAACGTATCTGACATTGTTCACAACTGCCATTCTCATCTTGTTACGAAGTGTCATTGTGGAATGTACATGATTTCTGTAATAATTGACATGTCTGTCATGGCAATGTTGACCGCCAAGTAGTATCATATCAGGTGAACATCTTGACAGAACATAATCCGTAAGTCTTAGAGTAACATTGAACTGCCCTGTTACATAATAAAACGACGCGTATAACAACCAACCCGAGACAGCATTTGCTTTAATACCGTCCTGTAAATGTTTATGACAATGTTTGTGCATGTTGTACCTTTCAGTCGTTACTGTTTGCGTTGGAAGTAGTTGTGCTGCATACTGACTTATTTCAGTATGATGATATTTACATACATCAACAATAAATGCAGACGATTTCGACTGAATTAAATATTCAGTAGTATTCAGTAATTTCAAACATTGTGATATGTCAGACAGACGAGCTAATACTAAATGAGATATCCTGTAAAAAAGTAAGTCTAACATTACAAAAGAAGGTCTAGGCTGAGAACTTAATAAAGGAGGATTTACATTGTCGTATTGACGAACATTCTGTATCAATCCATCAATTCCGTCACGCTCTATGCTATCCAATACATTTTTTAGAATTTCATTGTTATCGGTTCTGATTTTTCCTAGGAACATATTCTGTGCAGGTATAAAATAATTCGGACAATAACAGTTATTTACCCATAATATTAATTTACGTAAGCAGTGAGAAAAACAAGAATGTAATTTAAATAATTGGAATGTGTCGATATCGATTTCTTCAGAAACCCAGAATAAAACTGTTTTCAGATAGTAAGAGCACAATAAGCCTTTTGCACATGTGTTTGTGTTAACGATATGTTTTAATGTCAGTTTGAGAAGACAGTAACACAACAGTTGAATGTAATTAAACGAATGAACAAGTAATTTTTCGGCAACAGAGAAAGATAATCTCCATAACACATTACAATCTCGCAAAGTCCTTGGCCCAATAGGCACTAACAAACATCCGTATTTTTTAATCTTGTCAATTACAGAATTGGGCGGCCATTGCCTTCGATAACGCGAAGCCCATGGTATTGTATTGTACGGTAAATATTTACTTCGAAGACAGTATGCATAATCCACGTTTTGATAGTGATGTGTTAAACAGGGGCCGTGAGATGATACAATATAATGATCGTGATGCCTAATTTTTATATTACTAACAAATGTATTCACTGATAAATATAAGCCTTTTCTAGTCACTTCAAAGCATTCAGGTGGTGTAAAATAAGACTCTCCTTCCCCTCCTGCTAGTAATCGGAGTCTAGTAAATCCAGGATATTCATTGTCAGTCTCCATAACCAGTGTTGTCCGTTGTACTTGGTGTATGATATTCTTTACATCCCGTATTACGTCTACGTCCTTGATGACGTACATTATATCTATGTCACTACCTGGTATATCCAGTCCCTCTGCTAAACTTCCAGCCGTTATTTCTGTTAATTTTGAACCTAATTTTAGCATAATTTCATTTTGTATCATATCATGTGTCAAAAATAGTTGTTGTCTTTTACGCATGTCTATTTCAGTACCAGCTGTGTTGACTAAGTGTTCGTATAAGTTTCTTTCCTGCAAATTACTTCCCGACCAGGTCACGTAATCTATAAAACATATATTTATTCAACTATGTATCTTAAAAGTTTCATGATTTTTGTGTACATACATTTCTCTTGGTCATTATAACAAACGATCATTCTTATTTTACCACCAACATTGAGTTAAATGTAGACATACTGGGTACCTATTGTCGTGAATCGAAAACTAGGACGATACACATTTATCACTGATCAATTTTCAAAAATCGAAAAGAGAGAAATAAAGGTAACAACCAAAAACGGAAGGGATCGTATAAACTCCAAAAAAAGAAAAAAAAAACAAAATAGGTACATCGACAAAATAAGCGTCTCCTGTTATGCATGCATCAACCTCTTTTCAAATCTACAAACAATCAAAATGTCAAAACATGTCCCCTCAACTAGAGACTTCATATAAAATGACATTCGTACGTAACGCGACCTTATGGGACTGGTTATTGCCAAATATTTAATTTAATCTAATACGTTGCTTAACATGCTTAGGTTCAAACAAGCTTAAGGCATTCGATGACGTTCAATATTTCAAACTGGACGATTCGTCTATGAAAATAATTTTGTTATGACATAAAATGATAGAAATTTAGTATGTTACTTATAACATGTATTTCTAGATTTCCGACTTTCTTTTTACTGACTTAAGATCACATATAAAAACACACACTTCGCATAATTAGCATACGTACAATTTGAGTTATCTTTTATATTTTCATTATGACAATAACTTTTCAATATTCTTAAAGGATCAATAATTTCACCAGGATCGTTTCTAAATTTCCGGTCACGATAAACACCATATCCGTAAAATAAGGGTGTGCTATCCTATTGAAATAAGTTTTTTACAGGTACAACCAAACTTCAAACCAAATCTGTATTTCTATGGAAGAATTTAGTAAAAGTTTTAAGTAATTTGTGGTAACAAAATCTCTGGATTTATAAAATACCAGTAATACATAGATTACGTTCGTTAAAATCTAAAACGTCACAACAGACACGGGCATAGCGAACGAGTTGTGAAATATTGACCCCGTAAGAAGGTGCCTAAGGAACATCACCACCCAGAAAAAGAAAATTAACAATAGGGAACGATAAAAACGTCCCTTTTGCGGTAAATATTTTAGTGTGGAGTTTCCCATGTAAAACCGAACTATCTAAATATAGGATGAGACCGTTATTATTAATTTTTAAATTGATTTATTAAAAGTAAGTTCCTTTGGGTAACTTTCGGCAGTATATTGAGAATCTTCTTGATTATTTAACAAATAAATGTCATCAAAATAACGGTAAGCGTTGCTGAATTGATCAATTCAATGAAATTAAGACGGGGTTTGGTCATAAACTGTGACTCATAACAGTTCAAAAACAAGTCTGCTATTAAAATGAGACAATAAGGGCCCATTAAAATACATTAAACCTGTCGATAAACTGCGTTGCCGAAAAATGTTAAAGACTGTTCTGTTCTTTGAAAAAAGGTTCATCGGAAAGTACAGAAACCTAAAAAAATAATTTTAAGTGACTAATTTAGTCAATGTGGTCTTAAGGAATTTAGGGATTTTTGGTGATTAATTATAAAAAAAGAAGATGTGGTATGATTACCAATGAGACAACTCTCCACAAGAGACCAAAATGACACAGAAATTAACAACTATAGGTAACCGTACGGTCCTCAACAATGAGCAAAGCCCATACCGCATAGTCAGCTATAAAAGGCCCGGAAATGACAATGTAAAAAAATTCAAACGAGAAAACTATCGGCCTTATTTATATAAAACATGAACGAAAAACAAATATGTAACACATAAACCCTCCCCCTAACCTGGGACAGTGGTATAACAGTACAACATAAGAACGAACTATAAAAATCAGTAAAAATAGGCTTAACTCATCAGATGGACAAAAATACATGAGGACGTGATTAAGTTGTGTATCTTTTTATTTCATTAAGTTCCCCGTTATTTGCATGTCTTTCTTTGTTTGCATGGACTTTGTCATGACTCGTTATCTAAACATGCCATCATCGAATTAATGACCTACTTTCTTGGTAAGGTGGGTCCTGAAGTTCATATCGAACTCATGGTTTTTACAGTTTGTCTTTTTTGTGAACTTTTGTGTTTATTGATATTTTCTTAATAAATATACTATATGCGATATGTGCTATTAGCGACAACATTGACGTCATTGTCAAATATCAAATTAAATATCTACTCCATTATTTAAATTGACGTTCTTGTTAGATGTTGTGTATACAATTGAGAATGGAAATGGAGAATGTGTCAAAAAGACAACAACCCGATCATAGAACAGACAACAGCAGAAGGTCACCAATAGGTCTGCAATGCAGCGAGAAACACCCGCTCCCTGGTTTGTTTGCATTCTATAGTCAGTTGTGTTCTTCTTGACCGTTTATGCTGTTGGATCCCAACATTTGTCACATAAATATATTATGGGTGTTTAGGTCTCTGACCCAATTCTGTCAATATATTGTGGGTTCATTATTATTCGTTGGATACCAATTTTCGTGGGTTTCGTGGGTACAAGTAAACCACGAATTCAAACGTTCAACGAATTAAAAACTTGCTATGGCTTTGTGTGCACATATATTTGCAAAACCACGAAATAAAATATACACGAAAATGCAAGTTTTCCTCAATCCACGAAAATTGATACCCACGAAAAGAAATAGAATTCTAAAAAATTCGAATACAGCTAAAGGGTTTAGTGAGATATACAACCAGGATCCCACACCATTTTTGTCTGACATATCTGTTTTAGACTGTCCTAATGACCAGTTTTCAGACACATTGAACAGTATTTACTGGACATTCTAATATGTATGTTAAGACATTGGTTAATATAACTATGAAATTACCTTGATTGTAATCTGTACTATACTGTAAGTATTCAAGATATTCATCAGAGGTTTTATCAGGATATCTTACATTAATTATATTCTGTTCTCTTGTTTTCCTTCTGTCTAAACAAGCTTTATAGATTCGGTCAAACTGTCTGATTGTCAGCCCGAAAACGTCATTTGAGATGATAATTCCTCCATCTACAGATCGGTAAACAAATGGTGTGTATCTGCGTCTCCCACGGTATGGAAAACGTTTGGCGCCGTATTTTTCCAAGAAGTTCACATTCCTCAATACATACACATTATGATCGATATCCTTTTCATCGTTTCTTGAGTTTCGGTTCATGTTTGCTGTTAACTATAAATTGAATGTATTGTGCAATATTGTGAAAATCATATTATTTTCATAATGAAGTACAAATGTAAGCAAATGGTGAGTATCTCCCACGATAAGGAAATCGTTGGACGCCGTACTTTTCCCAGAAGCTTACTTTCCTCAATCCATACACATTATGATCTTTATCTGTTCCTTTGTTTCTTGGGTTTCGGTTCATGCTGGCTATAAATTGAATATAGTATGCAATATTGTGAAAGTCTAATATTATTTCATAAGAAGTGCAAATGAAGTAAATACAAGTTTTGAGAATTTGATATATCTGTGTAATATATAACATGTATAGTTAAATCCATTCCTGCTAGAATTATTTCAATACAAACAGCTTGCCATAGATACAATTGATATTGCTAACTTTTTCATATACACATTAAAACCAATAGGAATTACCGCTTTAGATTCCACCTAGCCCAATCTCTCATTTATTTATAACTTCGATGTAATTTAAATCTATTCTTAAAGCTTTGTTAAATTTCTACGTCAAGATATTATATAATAACAACAAAATACTGTTATGACACACAACACACCAATGATCATTTTGCATTTTATAAAATTATGCACCAAAAAAACTTACTAAAATTAAAATGATCTTGTTATTCTTTATACAAAATGAACAGTTATGTAAAAATCCAACATGTCCAATGGGAATTTTTGATTTGATATCCCAAATCAATCTGTCATTTATTGATAACTTCGATGTAATTTAAATCTTTTCTTACAGCTATGTTAAACTTAAATGTTTAGATAGTTGATCATAATAACATAATATTGTATTGGTACTGTATTGGTATGACACACTACACACCGATGGTCATTTGGCATATTATGAAACTACACAAAACAAGTTACTCAAGTATCAAATAATATTACTAGTCGTTTTAGAAAATGGAATTTCCAATTAGATTTGTGCTATTAATATCACAGTTATCTAAGTCACTTTGTCATTAATCTTTAATTGTGATCTAATTTAAACTTATTCGTATCGCTTGATAAACTTTAATGATTAGGTATTTGATCATACCAACAAAATACTGTAGGGATATGACACGCTTTGTGTGTTACTTGTCAACATACATAATAACGCCTTTGAAATGAATAATAATAATGAATACTCTACGAATAAAAAAAGCATGACACACCTGTGTAAATAAAAATAAAATTATCAAAAGTTTTATTTGAAAATCAAAACAAAACGACAACTTAGACTTTCTTACAGACCGTCATGTAATTAAAAAAAAGGTATAGTGTTTTAAATATTGTTTCTTCTAAATGAATTAAGATTTCATAATTATTCTTTAAATATGTGTTCAGTACTAAAAAGTGTATTTTGTCATGACATCGTGAGACAATAATACATTTAACCTTATTGTTAAGCTTTCATCCAATGTTTTCATTTTCGTCCTATGTTATTCATGCGTAAATAAAGCTAAACCAATTTTGAACTATCGTTTGGCTATAAAAGGTTAATAATCGATGCCATTATTGCATTTAATTGTGTGAAAATTTGACAATGTTGGAATATTTTTTTACTTACAAAAACAAAATTACATGTATGACGATAATAAAAAAGGTAAAGGTTTACAAAGATTGTTTTTGTAAATGGATATAAATAACGGATGACAATAATTTAGCAAAAGTTTCATCTCCTTTAACTTTGTAAGTATCACCACCTTTCCCATTCTACATACATGAAGGGCCGCAGGTTTTAGTAAGGCAAAATACATTTAGAAAACAATACTGATGCAACAAGAAACGTTATTCTGATGACCTTTTTTAACTTGATTTCTACATTCATGAATTTATTTGAATACAAAATATTCTACTTTTTTTACTATCCAAGTTAGGCTTTGTCCCAATCGAAAAAAAACCTGAAGTCTTAACCCAAAAATGAAAAAAAAACCAATGAAATAATTAAAATGTATGTAGTTTGTAGTATTTCTCCTATAAAATGTACAACATTTTGTTTAGTATTTTTTTACAATGTTTATCTGATAGAAGTAGTTCCTACTTATATATAACAATGTCAATACTAGTTCAATTATGTTGAATCTGAATAAAAGCAAATAGTATAAAGTATATTTTCTGTCGTTGTATTGTTTGGTTAATTAATGTTATCAAGAACATATGATAATACACATTTAGGAAATACCAAATCTGATGCCACGTATTCAGTCTAATTCCACATTAGACATAAACAACTGCACAGTTAAAGCTAGTTAAGATTACTGGACTGGTGCCGTTTTATGCATAATTTAAACTTTTGATTTGAAATAGGCATTTAAAAAAATCGTACAGACCTTAACGTAATACACAACAGAGTGAAATGTTTTAAGATTTTTTTGTACCTGATAAAATTGGATTTTATGTTGCCACCTTCAATGTTTTCAAGTTTCGACAAAACGGTCTGCGATTGAGGGTAATACAATAAAACCTGATTAAAAACAAGTAGTAACAACACGGCCGGATTTTTTAATGTTTCGCGTGTTATATATATTCAAGATGTGAATGTGTCATATAAAAGTACGTTCAGTCAACACCGTCTTGTGATAGTAAATAAAAAGAAACGCAAATATTAGAATCAAAGTTATTATTATGGTTAAATAATTGAATCAATAGAAAAAAGCATTTGAAAGAAAACCAAGAGTACTTAACGTCCGAAAGTTACACCCCTTATCAAATGAACAAGTTTTGAATTGTCGTTTCTGCTCTCTAATTTGAGTTTGCCATAAATAAATGTAAATTTCTTATTATAAAAAACACTCATAGTAAGTATGAAATTGTGAAGCTTCAGCTATGTCCCTTTATAACTTTATGTGCAAGCGGTGGCTCCATTCTATTTATTGACACATTCCACATTTATCATCTATTACCTCTTGGTTCTCTTTTGTACACTTTATAATAAGATATATATTGTACATGACAAAGAAAATAATTGTGTTTACAGCAGACAACAACCAATAAAAACACAAAACTGATTTAATAACTTTTTGTTACAATAAAGTCAATCAACATTGGCTCTATTCCAGCAAATGTAGAGCACGTGTCAACCACCAAAAAATATTTGATATTATCATGATAATATGAAATACATTTCTGATATGGATATGTCGTTTATTGAACCTTGTGCTCTTTGTTTTCTGGGACACCATAGAGTTGTGAACATAGTAATTTCTTCTATTACCGTAACTTTTTGGTTGGTTAAACAGACTGTTATGGCAGTAATAGTACCAATTGTACATGTTGTAAAGCATCAAATGCAGATTTTGACTATTAATGAGACTTTAGTAAATTTAAATTGACCTTTTAAACAATATATTATTAAAATATAATTACAAAAGTAGGAGTTAGCCGGCATTTTTTCCTTCATGAATAAAACTAGTGTGTTCCGTTTATCGGAAACAAGTATAAACATTTTGCGAACATCCTTAAAGAGAGATAATTGTGTGCCTGTTAAAAATTTGATTGACGGATGATTGTATTTCTAGAAATTCAATGTCAGACTAAATATATGTTCAGTTATTGTATTATTGTTAATTGTACCAAAAGGGCACAGAAGGCTCGGACATGATTTTGTGGCCGCTGTCGCATTTCTATCGGATGTATTACAAACGTGATTAACTTATTGATAAAAAATAGTATAAAAAGTATACATTTTCAAAAACACTGTTAATAAGAATGTAGTTTGCTTTATTTATTCAAATATATCAACAGTTAACATGAACGCATATGGAAGAAGTGGCACTGCGTCCATAAGTTTTCTTTTAAAGAAAAATAGTTCTGCATCTACTTGTAGTATGAATCAAATATAATCCAATTATTGTCTGGTATATATTTGCCGTCCATTCTTGAAGTACTTAATGTTGCTTATAATTGCTTAAATCCAATTCATTTAAATTTTGATAGATATTTGTCTCGTTGACAATCACACTTCATCTCTTATTTGTATATCTGCATTTCAGTATTCTTGTTACATAAGAAATTTACACAAACATTTGGTTATTATCATAGACTAGAAATAAGTAATCCGTATTTTCATAGAGAAGCGGTTTACTAGATGTGGCGATTAATGGTTTAATCTATCAGTTTCTTCATCAGAAAATGCATAAATCAATTCAGGAATGTTACAGTTGTTATACATTCGCTGAATGTGTTTGAACTAAAGATTTTGCCATTCGTTTAGAGACATTCCTTTTTGAATTATCCTCTGAGTTCGGTATTTTGTGATTTTACTTTTTACCAGATGTGTCGATATCTGACATCATTTAGCACTTATTTTTTTTACTGTCGGTTTATCTTGACAAACATGTGATATATTTATTATTTTCTAGAATTAAGAGAAAAGGATAAGATGAGTCTTACAGTTCTTAATTTCGTGCATATATCCGAATGTGTTTCTTCCTTTTCAAAAATCTTTTGATTACACGAGACTTTGTTGGACTGAATCGTATTTTTACGTTTTATCTCACACGTTTACATTTCGCATGGACAGAAAGCCGACATGATAGAATCCCGGACATTTTGTTCTGACTACGATCCAATCAGTCAATTTTAAGTCCTAATCATAAAACACTTTATTGAAAAGCATCGCAGAACATACTCACGTTTATCATTTTCACTTCAACAATGCGACTCACTACTTAGCCGAGGAACAAAAAATGCTACTCATAACTTAAAACGTAGATGGGGAATAAAACACGGGACTTATTACGTAGCTTGGGATTGGAAATGTGACACCCCAAACTTCTGACAATTGAACTCCCGATTAGACAAATGAATAGTGGGATTGTCAGTAACACGATATCCCATTAAAACAAATAAAACATTATTAACTATTATCGATACAATACGGATAAAGGATAAAGACATTGTTTATATGACATTCATTCATGACAAGTACATGGGATACATGACATGAGGTTTTGTGGCAAACAGTATCTGATGATAACACCTTGTTTAACAGTGAGGAAAAACAGGTCAATTAAAAAGGAAATCCGTACTTGTCTCGTCAATATTATAAAGATGAACTTACATTTTAGAAGGTAAGAAGACGTTATTATTAAAATGAAATTGCTCAACCAAGTATAAATAATAATCCCCAAATTAAATTACAGTAGGAAAAAAATCAAACTCAATATAATCATTGGGATTTTGAAACATTTCTCAGTTCGTGTTATTTCAGCTAATATTTAAATCTGCCACTTCAAAGATAATAATTGTTAGTTTGGTGTTTGTTAGTTTTGTTAAATCTTGTTTGTTCTTTTTTATATTTGCTTTTGTAATGCTTAATAGCAACTTTATGGGGAATAAACACGCCAACAAATAGATCTTCCATTTTGTTTCAATGATAATTAAAATGGAGAATGTTAATATGAAATATGTGAAGGAGGCAACAACCCGACCAAAGAG